CACGGACGGGGGCAGGGCCCCAAACGTCCAGGTGCAGGGTCTGAAGGGGGGCAGTAGCAGGGCGCAGCGAGGAGGAGTGAGAAGCACGGCGAAGCCGGCCCTCGACGCAAGGCGTGCACGGTGGCGCAGTCGAGGGAGGATGGGCAGGGAGTGACGCAGGGAGACCTAAGACAAGACCGTGCTGGGACATGGAACGCAGACGTGGGAGAGCAGGATGACTTAGGCAGTGGTGCCAAGAAAGGGACGGGTGAGTGAGGGATCGACACGAGCAAGCTGCAGCTTCCTCGGAGGACGCACCAACCGGGGGGGAAGCGGTGTCGAGGGTAAACAAACCGGACATCGGGTCCTGGGGGAACGTTGCAAGGGGGGAACCTGACATAGCCTCAGAACAGACAGCGAACCGCTCGTGCCCGGGGAACGTGGTGGTGATGCCAAAGTCCTGGAGACAGTCGACACCAACCAGGTTCCTCGAGTAGGAGGGAATGTGGAGGCCTGTAAGGGAGCCCGAGGGAACTGCTGGATAGGGAAGGGACGTGGAGCTGCGAGCGACGACAGGACCCGCGGAGGGGTCAGCGAGAGAGACAACGGCAGGCGTAGCAAGCGGCGTGAGCGCGGAACGGTCGCGGAAGAAGCAGGCAGAAGCACCGGAGTCGAGAGTGAAGGACAGCGAAGCGGTGGCGGAGGCCGGGAACGGAGCCGGTGCAGAGATTAGGCTAGGCAGACTAGGCAGTCCTACGCCTGACGCAGCAGGGGAGGCTAAGCTACACAACGGTGCAACGCCTAAACTAGAGTACACACGGTAATAAGATCCAGCAACACTAGAAGCGTCAGAATACAAGTCATGCAAAGCAGCACCTATCTGATCCATTTCTAACTCAAAGATCGGTACGCCCTGGCGGAGCATGCTGTGCCAGTCGGGAAGGTCCGGGGCTGGGCCAGAGCGACGACGAAAGAGATCGTCGAGGCGGCTGAAACAGCGGGCGGTCGGGTGCGGGCGGCGGCACAGAGTGCCGCGAAGAGGCCCGGTCTGAAGCTGGTACTGGCAAGTGACAGCACCGGAGCCGCCGGTAGATACCGAGCTGCGCGGGCCGCCACCACGGCCACTGTCTCCGTAGGTGCCGGGCCAACCAGGGGGGAGACGGGCCCACGGCTGCGGCGACTGCTGCTGGGACGGCGGTTGCTGCTGGGGCTACTCCTGCTGCGGCTGGGGCTGCTGTTCCTGCCCACCGGTGGTAGTCCCCTCAGGCGGACTACCGTCACCACTACCACGACCACCACCACCTGCGCCACCATCCCTACCTCCTTGGCGGGCACAGCCACCGCGGCGCGAGCGCTGCTGCGGGTGGACCGCAGCAGCCGTCTCGGTGAGAGGTGTCGCCGTAGCGACCGCAGCCGAAATGGCAGCGAACGTGCACTGGGAGGGGGCACAGCCGTGAAAGATAGAGACTGCCGGCGCACCGCTCGACTGAGCGATAGTGCGCTGGCGAGTCTCGATCTCGGTGAGGGTGTCGACAAAGGCGGTGAGGGTGAGGTCACCCGGGTGCTGGCTAAGGAAGTGATCGCGAGCACTAGCGAGGCGGTCTGGCAGGCGCATGGCGATAAAATAGAGCGTCATGAAAAAAGGGGGGGGGGAGTGCAGTGAGCTCGGCAGCAGTGCTGGCAGTGCGATAGCGGATCTCTAGGGCACGCAGGTGAGTGGCAAGTCTGCGACGGTAGGGAAGGCTGCAAGGTCTGGGAACAGCATAGGGAAGAGCAGGCGGCCGGCAGAAGCAGACGCGGGTGTGGAATAGCGAACAATAACGGCGTCTACGTAGGCTTTGGCCGTCTCAACAGTAGCAAAACGCGAGCGCTCAGACACAGGGAGGGCGTGGCTAATAGCAACCTGAGCGACTGCATCGCGGGAGTCCCAGACCACACAGGCAAGCGCAGTAGTAGAGAAGGTCTCACGGTCACCAGAGGAGGGGTCAGCAGGGAGGGGAGCAGGGGCGGGGGGGCGGGGGAGCAAGCCATCGACATGAACAACCAAAGAGTGGCCATCCTGACGCTGACCTGTAAGGTGGCGGCGGAGATCGGAGAGCCAGGCGACGAAGTCAACCGCATGGCCCTCGGCGTCCAGTCGGAGCACGAAGTCAGCCATCGTGCAAGGTCAGCGGCACAGCTCCACAGCTCCGCAGGGACACAGCGATGCAGGGACACGGCGGCACAGGGACACGATGGCAGCACGCTCCAGCACGGCGGCCGCGAGGCGCCCCGGCGCTGGCGAGCAGAGTAGACGGAGCTCGAGGTTGCACGGCAGGCCGAACAGGCTCGAGGAGGGGCCGGGCGGGCAGTGGGAGGGGCCAGGCAGACGCGACGGGGCCAGGCAGGCGCGGAGGGGCCAGGCAGGCGCAGCGGGGCCAGGCAGGCGCACAGGGGTCAGGCAGGAGCGGCGGGGCCAGGCAGGCGCGGAGGGGCCATGCAGAAGCGGCGTGGCCAGGCAGGCGCGGCGGGGCGAGGCAGGCGCGGCGGGGCCAGGGAGGCGCGGCGGGGCCAGGCAGGCGCGGCGGGGCCAGGCAGGCGCGGCAGGGCCAGGCAGGCGCGGAGGGGCCAGGCAGGCGCGTCAAGGCCAGGCAGGCACGGCGGGGCCATACAGGCGCGGCGGGGCCAGGGAGGCGCGGAGGGGCCAGGCAGGCGCGGCGGGGCCAGGGAGGCGCGGTGGGGCCAGGCAGGCGCGGAGGGGGCCAGGCAGGCGCGACGGGGCCAGGCAGGCGCGACGGGGCCAGGCAGGTCGCGACGGGGCCAGGCGGGCTCGACGGGGCCAGGCAGGGCGCGACGGAGCCTAGCGGGCGCGACGGGGCCAGGCAGGGCGCGACGGGGCCGGAGCGGGCGCGACGGGGCCTTGGAGGCACGCCGGGGCCCAGGAGAGGCGCGACGGGGCTAGGAGGCGCGGCGGGGCCCAGGAGGGGCGCGACGAGGCTAGGAGGCGCGACGGAGCCCAGGAGGGGCGCGACGGGGCTAGGAGGCGCGACGGGGCCCAGGAGGGGCACGACGGGGCCAGGCGGGCACGACGGGGCTAGGAGGCGCGGCGGGGCCCAGGAGGGGCGCAATGAGGCTAGGAGGCGCGACGGGGACCAGGAGGGGCACGACGGGGTCAGGCGGGCGCGACGGGGCCGGGCAGGGCGCGACGGGGCCTAGCGGGCGCGACGGGGCCTAGGAGGCACGACGGGGCCCAGGAGGGGCGCGACAGGGCTAGGAGGCGCGGCGGGGCCCAGGAGGGGCGCGACGGAGCTAGGAGGCGCGACGGGGCCCAGGAGGGGCACGCCGGGGCCAGGCGGGCGCGACGGGGCCTAGCGGGCGCGACGGGGCCTAGGAGGCACGACGGGGCCCAGGAGGGGAGCGACGGGACTAGGAGGCACGACGGGGCCCAGGAGGGGCGCGATGTGGCCTAGGAGGCACGACGGGGCCCAGGAGGAGCGTGACGGGGCTAGGAGGCGTTACGGGGCCTAGCTAGGGTACGAGCGGAAGCGGTAAGTGGGGGATTCTAACCTACGCGTGATACCATGTTAAAGTAAGATCTGAATGATAACTAGAAGAAGAAACCTAGAACAAATACTAGTTGGTTGTACTCACTAGAAGCATACCCTAGTTTAGTCTATAACTTCCACATAGCTAATATGTATAAGTTGACACCATGTAGGGATAATTGGTACCACGCTGGGATGAAGTCGATCTGATGGTTACCGTAAAGCTACGTAGGTGACTGCTGACGTCGTCACTTCGGATGTTGGTTACCCGGAAGATAAATACCCCATTTTGGGGGTCAACTCGTTCTATGCGGCCAATCGTAGCCGTCGATGTCCATCGTCGAATGATCGAACGCGCGCGAACATTCCGCTGCTATCAAGGTGTCGTTTCCAATCGCGCTGAAACTCGAACTCCATCAGCTCAGGTTCAACGATCCAACTATCTGAAAAATCAAGAATTGAATGTCTACAAGCAACTACACAATCCTATTTATACATACGAGAACTCTAGGGAAGGGTGACTAGAACCTTCTAAGAGAGTTCTAGAAATCAGTAGAAACGACCGTATGAACATCACCTAGAAGCACGGTAAGGATTCTAAAGATGCGGTGACGGTGATGTAACACTCCAAGCATAATAAAACGTGTCACGCAAGGAAATTCCGAAACACTCAAAACGCATATGATAAATAACATATCATTGTGTAGGGGAACAGTGTAGGGATTCCCAGGAAATGAAAAACACACAAAATTATACACAATAAATAGCAAATAGTAAATAGTAGTGATCAAGGATTCGGCAAGCCTCATCCTCTCACAAGGACGCTCTCCTACTCCTAGATGGACGTGAACTCCGACGACCTCGACGCACCTGGTTTATCTGCCCCGAAGTAGATCTTCATCGTCAACCGTTTCCGTCGCATCACAACCCAAGCGCACCGCAGTACGCTCCTCTCGAGAAAGTATACAATGATATACTGGATATCCCACGAGAAGTCGGCCGGGCCGACCTTAACTACATCATCCCCTTCATCGATGTCACGACACAGTTTACCTGGCATCTTAAAACCCCACGGCAAAATAGCAGAGGGGTTATCATTTTGGGACCCCGCTTGAGACAGACTGGTTAATTTGTGGGCAGGGCAAGGACGAAAAAGAAGAGAACACCAAACTGATGCAACAAATCTTTCATTTTGCATCGAAGGTATGCCATGCGACTAGACATTTCGTCGCAAAAAAACCTAGGGAGCCAATCACGAGGAGCAAGCAATTGTGCGAGGGCGCGAAACAAGGGCACGTCTGACTCAGATCTTGGAATACGAAAACCAATGGCGTGGTGCCACAAGCACTGCCGAGAAGAATGCAACCAATCAAGGGTGAGTGGCAGAGTCTATGTTGGAACCCAAGCGAACTCCTAGCGAATTCATGCTCTGAGTATCTGAGTGCTAAAAATATGTACAACCAAATACCCGTCTTCGTATTGATTTTCCGTAAAGCGGGAACCGACATCCCATGGTCTCCGCTCGCAGCCACTTCCAGCTTCCCGCGCGTCCCACTTCGTCCCGCATCTGCAGCTTTCTCCAACTCCCCCTCTTTCGCTCAACACCTCCACAAATCTCAATCTCTCCTATTTTCTCATTGTGTTAGGTTACCAGCAGTCGCTCCTTCTCCGTCGTTAACGAGTCAGGGAGCCTTGCTCCCACTCTTGTTCCTTGTAACAAAACACTATGCCTTCCATGAGATGCAGAGATGCCACCCACACCACTGCCTTTGATGCAGTGAGGCACACATAGGCGCGCTGGAGGGAGACGGGAGGGGATGCGGTGGGGAGGTGGGAGCAGGAGTGAGTTTGGGCTGCGGTGATGCACACGATTTCGCGCTGAATGAAGGGTATAGGTGAAATGGGGTAGGGAGACGCACGCGAAAAATGGATCAGTGGGGGGAGGCGGAGAGGGTAAGGGGAAGGACAGACGAACGGGATCAGGTGCAGGGCGCTACTCGCTTACCGCACGTCTCGTCGTTTCCAGCTTCCCGCTTGCCGCTACCCGCTACCCACTGCTTCCCCTTTCCCTCCTTCTCGCTTCCTGCCGGGAGACTGTTCACTGCATCCAGCTCCCCTCGTGCCGCTGCCTTGTGCTTCCCGCTGGCCGCTTCTCTGCTTCTTCCCTCCACCGGACCGCCCCCAGCCTGAGCTGCAGAGCACAGACGGAGTAACAGCGGAGGGACCGACAGTGGTAGGGAGGAGACGCCCCAGATCAACCTCCATCTCTCACTCTCTCCCTCCTCCAATCTGCCCTCTCCCTCTCTCTCTCTCCCTCTCCCTCTCCCTCTCTCTCTCTCTCTCTCTCTCTCTCTCTCTCTCTCACTCTCTCTCTCTCTCCCCCTCCCTCCCCCTCCCTCTCTCCCTCTCTCCCCCTCTCTCCCCCTTGTTCGGCAAACCCTCTCACATCTCCCTCTGAGTGGTCGTCCCCCTCTCTCCCTCTCCACATCACCCCCATTCTCACTCGTCGTCCCCCACTTCGCACTTCGTGCTCCCACTATTCCCTTTGGCAGGAGTTGAAGAGGGGGAAGCCTATGGTCCAGAGTGGCAACGCCAGAATTTTGGGCCTAGCCATAGTTGTGGCATAGTGCAGGGACCAGATTTTCTTTCAGCATGTGAGAGGTTTGCACAAGTATCAGGATTTAGATTGCTTTACAGTAAAACACATGCTTCGGATGGCCGTAGTATTGAGATACAGAAACATGGGCATATGCGAGCGCAGGCGCCATGTGGAGATGCCTCGGATCTACCTGCGATACATTCTCCTCCATCCCTTTTCAAGTTCACCTCACAGAGCACAATATCAGAATTAGAATTGAATAATGGTAAAGTGAGAGTACACACAAATAAACCTAAGTGTTGTACCCTCTAAGAGGTAACCCTATACAGTCTATACAAACATAACAAATACAGATGTTTGACACACCCCCTAGACTGCATAGGGGAATTCCCTAAACAAGCAGCTCAGGGCGGCACTACTAGTCCAACCTCTGAGACAAGGGTCTGAGAGACCAGTCAGAAGGAGTACAGACAAGGCAAGAACAAGAGCAGGGCGGCACTACTAGTCCAGCCACTGGGAGAGGACACAAGTCCAGTCTGAGTATACATATAAAGGACAGTACAAGTCAAGGTCCTAGCAAGTGAGAAGCGACAGGAACTAGACCAAGCTGTACACAGTGCCGCTGATGATCTTTAGGCGCAAGCGCCTTCGTAAAGATATCAGCTATATTGGCACCTGAGGCCAAGTGTACTACGCGAGCCTGACGTCGCTGCTGTAGCTCACGCATGAGGAAGTACCGCAGCTGAATGTGCTTCGCTCTGCCCTCGAGTCGAGGCTCCTGACACAGGAGGATCATGGCCCGGTTGTCAGCGAACAGGACCGGGGCAGAGCTAGGCCGCTCACCTAAGTCAGTGAGCAAGGTCAGCCAGCGGAGCTCCTGTGCCGCCATGGCACCAGCGTAGATCTCAGCCTCACAGCTGGACTGCGCAACAGACGAGGAGCGAGTAGCTCTCCACGAGACGGCACCTGAGCCAAGGCTGAAGCAGTAGCCCTGGGTAGACCTGAGTGTCTCAGCGTCGTCTGCCCACGAAGCGTCTGTGTGTCCAGTAAGGACCATTGGCCTGCGTCCTCCAAGCACTAACCCCATGCCCGATGTACTAGCAAGATAACGCAGAACCCTCTTAGCAGCAGACCAGTGCTGCGGTCGGTGTCTGCCTGTGGCCACAAAGCGCGCCAGGATGCTGAGAGGGTATGCGAGATCTGGGCGAGTGCAAGTCATCAGGTACATGAGGCAACCCACCAGCTCTGCGTAGGGGCCGCTGGGCTCTACCAACTCCTCAGGTACTGGAGCGGAGAGTCTGTGGTCTACAGGCAGAGGGGTGGGCTGTGCAGAGGAGAACTGAAGGCTGAACCTCTGAAGGACCTGGCGCACCAAGTGTGACTGAGTCAGGGTGATGGTGCGCGCAGCTCTGTCCCTGGAGATCTGCAAGCCAAGGTAACGGCGCAGTTCTCCAAGGTCAGTGCAGGTGTGTCTCTTCAGCAGCTCTGCCTTCACGGAGGCCAGTTGTCACAGGATCGAATGTCCGAGGAAAGGTTTGCTCAATGTTGCACTATCATTCAGTACAAGGTGCTTTTATACTTCCAGAATACATCAGGTAACCAGGCTTATCCTATCCAAAGGGAATAGACCCTTCTAGAAATAGAATCACCCTGCGTATAGCCACGCGAGGCTATTGGCTTTAAGGGATTACGGCAGGATTACGCTAGATAGAGCGCGCCAGTACATCCCGAGCCTGGTCGGTGATATAATCATAATAATAGGATAAACCCAAGGATAATGGAAAATGAGGAATAGGAAACCAAATGAGATGAGATAAAGACCAAATGAATCAGGAGTGAAAGAGGAATGAAATAGAAATGAAATATGGAAAGGGGAAATTGGTGTAACGGTGTCGTACTCTCACACTTCCCCCCCTCAAAGCTGGGTGGTAGACGTAACACCCTGCTTGACAAGGTAGTCGCGAAGAGGACGACGGGCGTTACCCATGTCGAATTCAGAGACGCAGCCTCAGAAGGATCAGAACCCTTCCACCAAAGAAGAAGCTCCAGAGTGCCATTCTGATGACGACGGTGTCCGAGCACGTAGTTGTCCCATGGTGTGGATGAACACGGGCGACGACAGTGGTTGGCATTCGGTGTAGAGCGTGTTTGGTCTTGATAGGGTTTAAGAAGCTTGTATGGAAGGTGTAATGGAACTTCCAAGTGGCTGGTAGGCGGAAGCGGAAGGTGAATGAAGTAACCTTTGCTTCAAAGAGGATAGTCCCGCAGAAGCAAGGTTCAAGCTTGGACGGAAGTTGGCTGATGTCGAGATTATGGTCTCGAGAAGGGTAGTGATGAGTTGCCAAGTGCTTGTGCTGATGTTGGATGTCCAAGAGGGCGCTTGTGTGGTCGATGTACTAGATGGTGGACGATGGCGATGAAATCGGAAGCCAGTTGGACTGTGGCTGGTATGGTTAGCTGTTGTGGTGTGATCGGGTGGTGTCCGTAACAGACGAAGTACAGCGTCTGTCCAGTAGCGGCGTCAGGAGCATACTTATAGGCAAACTCCAGGACGAGCAGATGCAAGTCGGAGTTGGAGATGTGAATGGTTGGAACAGTGTGCTGTAACGTGCAGATGAGTGGCTATGTTGTCCGAGCTGTGCATGCTGTTATCTGCATCTGGTCCACGTGTGAAGATCACCAAGTGTTGGTGGTATGGCAGTTGTGTCGTAGTACTGCTTCTGTAGCAGTGTTGTATCCGTTACATGCAGCTTCTGTCGAATGTTGGTCCATGCCTTGGTGTTGTCGCGAGTCGTACCCATTCGGCATCGTAGTGCTGCGGAATGGAGAGCAGAATCACTTGTAGTAATCCTGTCCACCACGCGGTCTGCTACTCACATTGCCTTGAGTACAACAGCGCATGCGAAGTGCTGCTCAGCGTATCCCTTGTGTTCAGAACCATGCGAGGGGTTGGTACCACAAACGCGGAGCTGGTAACTTCCAGAATCGGCGCCAAGTAGTTTCCCTCGGTGGTTGCTCAAGCAAGGAATCTCTGCTGCATAGATATCCCACTGTGATGGGTTAGGACATCTGGGAATATAAGGGGTTATTCCCAAATAATCCTCTCCCATTTCCAAATTGGCATTGCTGACAGCCAATCCAGTATGACCTTATGCACTTCCAGTTTAGCACGGAGGCCATCGGTAGGCATCGGTGTCTGGGTGCACATATTGGGATAGATCTTCTGGTGCCATCATGTGTTGTCTCATTCTGTCACTGTCCTTGGAAGTAGCGTTGATGTCGACGACGTCTCAGCGACTCAGCATCAGTGTTGAAGTCTGCTCCATTTCGGCAAACAGGGGTGTTGTTGGAGATACGCGGAGTCCACTATCCGGAGTGGCGTCGGCGCTCCATTTCACGCCTATCTGCTTTCGTGGAGTTGGTGCTGCTGATGGATTGGTTGTGACGCAGGTTTTATGACTTTAAGGAAAGCCATAGGCCATGAGGACTTGTATAACGGTAGAGTACCGCGGTCCTCCCATCCCCATAAGAGCAAATATCTGATGCTCTTGAGGGTATATGGCATTGCCATATTGTTTCCTCGCATAGTGGTATCTCCTTCCCACTAGCTGGAAATCATAGTACTGTGCCTGGCCGGGACTTAACGACCCACTGGAATATAATCCAGCATTATCTCCATTGAGCGGAGAATCATCCATCAGGGTTTGGTTGTGACTATTGTGTCGAGTCTTCTGCTGTGGCGGCGGCGGCGGTTGCGACGACGGCGACGGCGGCAGCTGCTACAGAGAATTCTCTCAACTCGTACTAGTTGAAGGAGAATCCATCAACTCCCTCTTCCCAGTAGAGTGTTCCTGATGGGTGTAACAGGCGTAACTACCAGGAACACGTGCACATTAGTACACATGTGTTGTTCCATTGCTGCCGGTGATTGTTTCATTTGAGGGTGTGAAGAGAAATTTGCTTCTCCCCTCGATGTATCCACGGGTAGCAATTCCTGGTATGCTAATCCGTGCCTCCGATGTACGGTCGGTAGAGCGCGTGATCGTGTTGTAGTAGTCCGCATCTCCCTCATTTGTTGACACCTCGTGTTGCTTGACGTTCTCCTGCATCGTCGAAGTTACGCTGATGCTTGTAACGCTTCGGCTTCTGGTAGAATCGCCTCCAATGCATGTGCCGTAGGGTCGCTAGTGAGCGAGTACTTGCCGGATTAGAGGTTAATTACTCCTCAATCTGTCAAGCATCGTGATGTGCACGGAATTTTCTTCCACACAGGTCATTAACACCTGGAATCGCGACGCATGATTGGTGTGTCGCCTCGTGAGGTCGATGTTGAGACTGCTCCAATCAATCACCTCGGATGGCTGAGATTCTTGATGAAAATGAATCGTTCAGCTCCTGTTACGAAGTAGTGTCTCGCTGGCCTTGACGAGACGGGTTCACTGCGTCAGCGTTGCGTGCGAAATCTGCTCCTTCGCAGCAACTTGAACTTCGGAGCATTGCAAGAGAAAACGACTACTTCTCTGCAACCCCATAACTTGTCGATCAATTTGTATGAAAAAGTGTCTCGTGGATGGAGAACATGTCTTCACGCAGCTCCATTGTTTTTCCTGGGTGAAGATCCTGTCGTGTTGATGTCGATTCATTTTTAACGGAGATGACCTCGTCAAAATAATTCGATCGTTATCGATACCAGTCAGAAGATGCGTCGATTGTGCAGTCGCTGGTCACGAATGTTGTCTCCATGATGATGATTTCCCATAGTGTAGTCTCTGCTGCATTCGTGCCGTTGATTCCGCACCGATCCGACGATCCACGTTCTCCTGTCATTTTTCTGCTTGCAGATTTTACCAAGTAGGTAATACTCTGGCAGATTTCTAACTCCGCAGATGATTTGCGCGCCAAATTCGTCACCGAATGAAGAAATTCGAATCTGGTTGTCCAGATGATGTCAGCGGTGTCGAAAGCGGCTGATTTCTTGTTCTGCGCGTCAATCTCCCTTTGTGCAGAAGTCGCGCTCCATCTCGTCCGTTGCAGTAGACGTCGATCTGACGGTCCAAAATCCAAGCGATCTGAGGAGCCTCTTGAGTCGCGTTCAGCAGGTTTCGGTGCACGGTTGGTTCGTTTTCTGCAGCATTTATCGGTCGTCGATGTCGGCTGTCGAACGATCCAACGCTCCGAAGAATTTCACGGCTTGCGAGGTCCCGTTC